AAATACATTTGAAATAAACGATTCTCATAGTGGATGCTGTTATTAGCGTTCTTGACTCAACTGGATGGGCTAGGCGGAAAAAGGACCAATAAAGACGTTAGGCTGTTCATACCGGTCGAAGGTTATTGGTTTGACACATTACTAAGACTGAATAAGTCGTTTTTCGATTGGCGAATAAATCACATGATAACTAGCCGGGCTTAAAGCTACAACAGGCATGGTAGTGAAAATATTTTAATTTCTCATCTACCATACAAACTGAATTTTGATTGTCTAATTTAAAAAAATAATCGGTATAGATAATTTTCAATATGAAATAACGTCAGCTGAGAAACTATTAAAAAAAATAGAGAAACTGGACAGCTATTTTCTTCAAGTTACTGTCTTCCAAACCAGTTCCTGAACTTTTGTTGAGAAGCCATAAACCGTAAAGTGCAACCAAGTTACGAGCGTAACATACTGTTGATAACACTAGATAACTATTGCACTATAATGCTAAGTAACTGAAAATCTAAAAAGATATGACATCGAACTCCAACATATCAGTTTAAAACGTATGTAGGTTCCCATCACCAGGATTGGGATACGCACCATTCAGGAACCTCAGATTACGAAGAAATGACTGTCCAGTGCTTCCTGGTTTCCGATGGTTGTCCTTAGTTGATGATAATAACTATCAAATCCAAATAATTCGCACAAAAAACCTAAATATGATAAATTATCTAACACATAAACATAATAGATTGCATTGTTCCTTGCTAACTAAATTCTCACTGTTATGAGTGTTTAAGTAAGACCTATTTGTGAACACATCTAGAGTTGATACCGTTACGAATGATTGAAGTAAATAATTTACGGTTGTTTGTGACTTTTATTTTCATCCATCATTATCTATATGTTACTTGATAAGTAGCACTTAGTCACTATACTGTCTCAGTATTTTGTAAATAATGACTTTAGTTTTCGTATAACTATCCATATTACTCAATTAGTTAGTCACTATTTCTGTCTTCTGAAATCTATTCAGTCGGAATCCAGTTCTATGAGGAAATAATTGAAATGGTATCAAATTTAGTTCAGTTTTTTTTACCAATCTACTGAACCATAGCATCAAATTATTAGTATGCTCAGGAAAATCAGACAGATTGCAAGCCCATGGCAGGTAAGATGTAACTATTGACAGTTTATTTCGTGTAAATGAACTGTCTATTAAGTTCAGGTTATCTCCTGTAAGTCGTTATCTGGATTAGCCTAGCCTCTTATCGTACGTATAAATTGTAAAGACTGTCATTTGAAATTTCGGCAGTAAGATTTTTCACATAATCTTCGTCTTTTCTCTTTGTATACTTAGATTATCTGAGCCTTATTAAAATGGACTCAATAGGACTCCATATCATAAGAAATTCTAAGTACGAGGATTATCAACAGGAATATACACATCTAATCATCACAGACATAAGATGAGATTCTGTCTGTTTTATCATTAAATTTCACGTTTTATAAATTATGAAATTGAAATTAAATAATGTATGAGATGATGGAGAAGATTTGTAGCTCAGGTGGATGATTTCGATGGCGTTTTGTTCTCTGAGTTGAATGGTTTGGTTGTGGAGCTTTCATCGTTCTTCTGAACGGCATCATCAGCACAAACTTCAGATAGAAGTGAAGTGTTCGAATTTCTCCACATGTAGTTATTAATGTATTATTACGATAAAATAATATTTACAATTTAGATGTAATAATTATGGATACAGAGGTTTCCACCACTTCTGTGGTTATAGATATACCATTCTACCTAATACCAGGTAGCATGTAATTTGAATGTACGGAACTCTAACAGTTTTCGCGATTACCGGAGGTATCTAAAATGCAACATACACTTTTGCTCTTGATTAACTCGAGTTATATTGTCGTAAGTTCAAATTACTCTCTTTTTATTCATCATTATTAATAAAGTAATATACTTCACATTGAAAATTAGGCTTTGGAAATGATTTAAAGAAAAAAGCAAATACTTTACATTCATGTCATATTTCTAATGTTCTTTGATAGAACAGACCCTAGATTTATGTTATTATTTATATTGGCATAGATTTCAAAACAAATCAATGCATACTATATATATAATCCAGTTATATACTAACTGATTATGAGAATAGTCTTAAGAAACTCGGTGAATATGAATATAGAAAATGAAGATGTTTAGAGAACTCTTTCTATTTTTAGATTTCCCTATACATTTTACCTTTGAGATGATGGAGAAGATTTGTAGCTCAGGCGGATGATTTTGATGGAGTTTTGTTCTCTGAACTGGATAGTTTGGTTGTCGAGCTTTCATTGTTCTTCTGAACGACTTCTATCTGAAGTTTGTGCTGATGATGTCGTTCAGAAGAACGATGAAAGCTCCACGACTAAACCATCCAGCTCAGAGAACAAAACTCCAACATTTTACCTTTTTTTACTAACCGTCTTTGTTGATTACATGAAAATATACCGTGACATTTTTAAGTTCCAATATTTTATTATTGTATAGTTCATAAAATTTACAACTGAAAAACATCTAGAATTCAAAACAATTTTCAACCAACACCAAAGTCAGAATTTTCAATACAAATGTCAAGACAGTTCTACTGTATGGGGCAGAAACCTGGAAAACTACGAAAGCCGTCATACAGAAAATACCGGTGTTTATTAACAGTTGTCTATGCTAAATACTTCCGATCCGTTGGCCAGACAATATCAGTTCCGTGAAAAAAGTGCTCATTTAAATCATTCCAGTAATTTTATTAGTCAATAGTTTTATCATAACAGTTACTTTTTCTTGTTTTCTTATTAACTTTATATATATATATGTATTGTTCAATGGTTGAGATCATGAGTCAATTGAAGTTAGACCATCATAGAAAACCTAGAAGCACTGGACGGCTGTTTCGTCCTATTGTGGGAATCCTCAGTAGTGCTCATCCACGACTTCGCCCCACAAAATTCAAACCCAGAACATATCAGTCTCGAGTGCGAGTGCTTAACCATTAAACCACTGAGCCGGCGGGCATCCAACAGTGTTGATGTCTAACTTCAACCGATCTATGAAATTGAGCGACAAATCCACCAATGTCTTCAGTGAGTTACTATCTCACAACAGACCGGGGTGTGGTATCAAAATTTATGACGGATTAAATGAATACACTTCTAAGGAAGAACCTACGTTACTCTATCTGAAGTGTAATCAATTAGCAATAATTTTCATTTATTGTATTAAATATTTCATGAATTATAACCTTCTGAGTACATACACGATTTGAAGGTAGTTTTCATGATTCAAAATTGCCATAGTCATCTACGAATACCCAACAAACCTGATGATACTTATCTTGTTTATTCCGACAAAGTGTATGTCACATACAAAAAGTCAAACCTTGTTTCATTAATTCAAAGTCAGTTCAATTGCAATATACCTGTATGTAGAACGTAGCCACCTGCTGATCCTAATGGGTATGAAACATGTACAGATATCCCGTTCAAATGCTTTGGAGACAAAGAGAGCCTATATAAATTACATGCTTCGTTACTGACAAGTCAAAATCTAAAATATACTTATTCGTATTGTGAACAGAATAGTGACATCGTATTTCTTTCGTATGAAAGGTGAGAAAAATTACCATGTATAATATTACTCATATAAGTGAAGATCATATAAAAGGATCTTTCAACCTTTATGTATACCGACTTTCTCCAATACGCATATATAATGAAGGTGTGAGTAGTGTTAAGACAGTTCAGGTCAACGAAGTCACATTATTTGTAACGTGGGTACATGAAGACCTAACATTGTTTCGTGGGGGGAGGGAGAATCATATATGCATTAAACAAAGGAGCAGAGCATAGTTGTTAAAAGATTAAGTCGATTTTTTTTCAAATAAAGCTGAAAAAACAAACTGAAAGTGGGAACACGACCATACAACCGGTCAAGATCCCAGCGAGTACGTAAAAGAACAACAACCTTTTGGGTAGACATTTATTCTTACGTATTTCATCGAAAAAACAACTTTACATTCTTTTACTAATTGTGTTTTTTATTCAGCGTTACTTCCGTTTTAATTCAATGTGTTAATTACTCAGTGTAGTATTTATTTTGTTTCCCATTGTGGTATTTTATTCGTTAGATCATTAATTTATTTGAGTTTGGTGTTTGTCTATGATACAATATTCTTGTATCAAATTAACATGATCTATGCCCAGAATGACATGCAGTATTTGACTTGTTATAACTCTTGAAGATGGCACAGGTATTCAGTGTTTGACAACGCTTTTACCAGCAACACCTTCTAATATAATTCTTACTCACCAAGAGAAATCAAAAGACAGAGTCGAGGAGATTGGAAGAGTGTATTTGGCGATTACCAATATATCGGAATTCTCTGATCTAATCTGGCTAGCGATTGAGGTAGATGTTGAGCACAGCGTTACCACACGTGATCTGGTGCGGATGCATGACCGAGCGCCTTCAGCTAGGTGAGTCCATTAAAACATGTGGTCAGCATCCAATGTCGAAAACTTGCAGAGCTATTTATTTTGGGGAATTATTTACCGCTACACTCTGAGTATTTTTCACATTTATGACTTCATCCTAAGTTAATGATCAAAATGGGTATACAATCAATATATACTTACTCGCTTCATGAGAATTACAGTGATTCCTCGTTCTTTTTTTAACTATAAGTAACAAGCGATTAAGACATAACAATATTCTAAGTTGAAATTCATGTCATTCATTTTATTTGATTACTGAACTTATTTACCCCTTCCCCTCATAGTTAAACAATGGCTTCATGTTAAAACCATTCATCTTTCAATCACTAAGTCACTAGGTTAAAACTCAGCCCCACCTATTTAAGTATGGATGTCAGAGTAATAATATTAATAGTTAGAGTATAGTTTAAAAACTGAGGACATACACTTGAAATTGATCAATGACTTGAATTATAAATTACAAAGAGTTACCTTTATCATTTTTTTTTTCATTATTTATTTCAACACTTGTACAACAGTTTTCCATAGTTCTCTATGCTAGCATTCAAAGTTTAGTGTTATTCGAAAGAATATATAATCCATACATAACATTAGCTAATTTGTCATATTGCAATATAAATAATAAAGAAAGCATACTAGTGGTAGGTACACAAGTTCTATATTACCAATAAAATATAATGAACAAGTAAATTGTAAGTTATAAAAGGTAGTAACAATAACAAATGAAAGAAAGAAAGAAAGAAAGAAGGTGAACACTTTACAAGTCCAATGTTTGAAATGCAATCACATGATATGATGCATATTGAGCATTAGAGAATCGTCCAATTAAATGTGTTACAGCACAACCAGCTTTATATGGACCAACAATTACATGCCAATTACGACCATATTCTTTTTCTAATGCTATTGCTATAAATTGTGGTATTGTTTGAATATCAATTTGTTTTTTAATAGCTATTTCAATTAATTGATTTAATTTCTCTTTAATTTTTTCATATGAATATTCTATAAGTAATGGTTCATCATTTAGTTGCCATGAATTATCAACTTTTGATCTATGATAATCTGATGGTACATTATCACTAGAATAACTACGTTTATACATTGATAAATTTTCTGTAGATGTTAATGATGATTGTGAATAACGTGTAATATCTTCAGTTGAACGAAATTTTGCTGCAGCTTGATGAAAAACATCACTGGATGATTCAAATTTTCCATTAAGTCGTCGATTATATCTTTCACTAAAATTTAGGAAAAAAAGTCAGTAATATTGTTGTTTTTAATATTTTTTAGGTATATAGTTTATAGTTTAGTAGAAATAGTAATCAGTTTGTTAATATTATTAATATTTGGATCTCGTGAGATGAGATCATAGATGCGCACTGCTGAGGAGTCCTACAGTAGGATGAAACGGCCGTTCAGTGGCTTCAGGTTTTCCATGGTGGTCTAGCTTCAATTGATTCATGATCTCAACTATTAAAATATTAAACTTGTTTACAATATACAAATAAAATTACGTTTGGTGGAAGGGTATTTCACTCATGATAATGATTTTTTAAAAAATACATACATGAAGAAAACACCAGTAATAACCCATATTCATATCTATCGCCTATGCATTTAGATTCGAAATTGATGAGGATGTCCAAGTTAGATGAATACTTTTGATGATGTTATATTCTCTAAGTGTCTACTTCATATAATAGACATTGATGATATTGTCCAGAATGAAAATGAGCACTTTATAATTAAATCATTCAGGTTAGAGAAATCAACACCAAATAAAAAGATTTATTCTTATCATCTTATTATTTTGATTAAGTTTATATTTAATTATCATAATCTTGAATTATTTGATTTTAGTATACGAATACCCAACTCCCGATGGAGTCCGTCCGGGGGCTACTGCCGGTCCCAAGCCCGGATAAAGGAGGAGGGTTGGTCATGGGGTTAGCGTCCCCATCCCGTAGAAAACTAACTCGCTAAAAAAACGCTAATCAGAAAAAAATTATTCAAACCTTTTAAACCCTGCCCTGGGATTTAGAAGGTCTTCATTTAGAAGAGTTATGACGCCTCATGATGAAAACCGATTTCCTTCGGAAGTCATGAGACCGATGCCGCTTCTGACAATCAAAGCAACCATTTATTTATGTACATGGAATATGACTACCCATCAATGAGTCTCTTATCTGAGTGTTTGACTAAAATGTAGCTTAGATTATGTTTCTAAATTTTCAATGAATTCAATGATCTTTTTAATGTAAATCAATATGGAGTGGACAGTCAACGATAACTGTGATTTACCGAAATGCTAAAACTTATCGTTCTCATCGAAACTATACTAAAAATTACTTTTATTATGATTATTATTAGCAGCTATATTCAATATTATATTTTTGGTACAATATAGAATTCTCAGCACAAAGTATTTCAACAAGTTCCCTTTTCTTATTTCTTGATCGATCCTCATGATAAATACTGGATAGTTGCCAGTTAGATGTTAGCAGTTCAGGAGTCGACATTTGGATAATGTATATTCTTCTCGGTGCATATTACTAGTAACCACGGTGTCTCTGGATAGTTTTTCTGTAACTTATACAGCGAAATGTCGTAAAATTTACTTGTTATCATTTCGTGAATTCAATTCACCTTCTTTTTATACCTCTATTTTGAAAACAACAGTGACCCGATAAGAGGTATTTTTATTCTACCTATTGTTCACTGATTCAAAAACACATCAAAAACTGAAATAGAAGCACAGTATTCACCTTAAAATTTTGCCGAAATCAGCTCCTATATTCTTATTAATGTTAATCAGAAAAAAATCTGTTTACAGGGACGTTTTAGTTCCACACCGCACTTAAATATTAATACATTGAGGTAATATATTGATCATCTTATTTTTTTTTAAATCACCAGATTGATTTTTAGTGTATGGAGATCCGTGGGGATCATGGCGCCCACAAGTGAGATTGAAGGTCTTCAGTCTGATTACTGTGGGCGGAACCTTGAATGAAAACTAGTGGAGATCTCCACAATAAGACAAAACGGTTGTCCAGTGTTTCCAATTTTTCAACAGTGGTTCGAATGAAATCGGTTCGTGATTTAACTCATAGGACATTCACTTTTGTTGTTGTCACTGTAGGACTCTGAATGTATACTAAAATTTAGTGTTTGAGTAATGTGAATTTACTGACAAATTTCTGTGAACGATAAATAACATAAAATCTATGATAAGAAAAATCACAGGTAAATATAAGTAAATGTTTCTATCTTTAGTAATACCATTTTGTACAGAAGAATCATCGCAATCTCCACCCCCAATATGATTAATATTCACCAAGACTTCACTAAGATATGACTTGTATTCTACAGAATTCAACATTGATTTATATAGTAACATGCCTGTTTAATTGCATCTTAATGGTTCAAAGGTAATGCGTTTGGCGAGAGGATTGAATATGAGTACTTCCTTCATAATAATAAAACAATGTTTGTCTGATGCACTAAGGTTTTCATCGTAGAATTAAAGTTATTTCGTGACGTTTACTATAGATAGTTCTTAAGAAAATAATAATAAACCTTTGGATGAGAATATAAACAACTTTTATGAAAATAACTAATTTCACTAAATCTCGTTCTATGTTATTTTGAGTTCAATTTTCCGTCAAAATGAAACTAACCCTTAAAGAAAATAACAGCCCGAATCAACAAAATATGATTTTAATAATAAGCTTTCATTTTGAAATACATTACTATAAAGAAAGCTAACAATCAAAGATAACAACCTTTTGTCAGCATTAAAGAAAATTGGAAAGAATTTCTGCAACTACTAACAGAATTCAGTAGTTCAAATCAGACATCTGTTACTATCTTTTTTTATTTAACAAGACAATTATTTATAACAAGCAATACAAACTCGTTCCAGTTTAAATTAATGGGTATTATTAACGAACTTTTATTCCAGAGCGCATTCAATTAATAGATGTAATTCTCTTAAGAAATGGATGATACCGCTTTCATCTACCATTATCATAATGCCGTTAAGATTACGAATCAGTTTAAGACAATTATTAAAAACGTGGTAACAATGCACGGTTGTTTTAGCTCCATCACAGAGAATAGAACCCATGATCGTTAGCCTAATACACTAATGTTTCACTTTTTGACCACTGAGCCGGTATCTGATATTGTACCAGTCTAAATTCAATATTTCCGCCATATTGCATAGTCATCTTTCATTGTCTTTTTTTAGTACCTTTCTCACACTGAACATATAATGTATAATAACCTCTTAGAAACCCAGGAAAATGTATGGGAAATCGCTTACACTTACGGTCTGAAAATTCAAATAGTAATCTAGTACTCATTCAAAGTAATTAACTTGCAATGAGTATAAAAGTTTAATTGAAGTCATAAATCGATCGATGTTAGACCATCATTAAAAACCTGGATGCACCGGGCAGAGATTTTGTCTTGGGTTTGAACCCCACCAGCGGAACTGTGGATATGCACTGTTGAGGAGTCCCATACCAAGACGAAATGGCTATCTAACGCTTCCAGGTTTTCAATGGTGATTCAACATTGATCGATTCATGATTTCAATCAAAACTCAACAGTCTCCACTGATATAGAATTTTATACAAGCAGATCCCTTGAAAAATTTAAACAAATCAAGAACAAATAGGTTTACAGAATAAAATGAATTGATTATATTTCACGGTTTCTCATCAGTTTATCATATTTTAGTTTGTGAAGTTTAAATACATCTTTCGAGTGTAACTAAATTCATAATAATAAAAATAATGGGGAAATAAAGTGTATGAATAAACATAGTTCAGATGGATGAGTATTTTTATACTGAAACGTAATAATTTAGAGGTTATGTAAAGATAATAGAATGAATTCATTTTATTCCACAAACCTTATTGTTCTTTCTTTGTTTAAATATAAAATTGTAATCAGAGAGGGTTTTTGTGGATATTACAGTAATTTAATAGTTAAATTCATAAGTTCATTGAAGTTAGACCACCATGGAAAACCTAGAAGTACTGGATGGCTGTTTCGCCCCTGTGTGGGACTCCTCAGCAGTGCGCATCTACGATCGCACCTCATGAGATAGTAACTCACTGATGACAATGATGGATGGTGGTGCAATTTCGTGGATCAGTTGAAGTTAGACATTAACACTGCTGAATGCCGGCCGGTTCATTGGTCTACTGGTTAAGTGCTCTCGCGCGAGACTGACAGGTCTTGGGTTCGAATTCTGCGAGTCGGGATCGTGAATAAGTACGACTAAGGAGTTTCATACAAGGATGAAACATCCATCCAGTGCTTCCAGGTTTTCCATGGTGGTCTAACTTCAATTAATTCATGAATTCAACTATTAAATTAAAATAAAATTTCTATTAAAATGTTTTATTTTTACTGAAATTCAATACAGTAAGAACATTGTGAAAAACTATACGTAAAAAAAACAAGATCAGCTGATGATAGAAAGACCTTAACCATACAACTAGTTATTTATATTCTCATCACTATCGGCTAGACAGTACAATGATGTTCATCTTTATTGGAATATCATGCGTAGTTTTAGTAAAAATAGGTTAGGTTTTCTTTTTACTATTATTTATAATTTAGTCATATGATCTGGCATAACATTTAAATGAAAGATACATGTAAAATTCTCCTTATATAGATTTCATTCATAATATCGAAGGAAAACAAAATCATAAGGGGAACACAAAACTATTTTTTCAAGTAAAAGGTAGATTTTTAACTTTGTTGGAGGATTTTATTGAAGTTTTGATACTTTTTTTTAGGTAGATTGTTTGATAGAGAATTATGTACTGCTGAGGAGTCCCATACTAGGACGAAATGGCCATCCAATGGTTCCGATTTTTCCATGGTGATCTAGCTTCAATCGACTGATGAATTCAACTATTAAAAATATGTATTATCTTATTTAAAATCAAAGTCAATAAATAGTTTATAAAATTGAAAATATTTAGCAGAATTTATTAGTGAATATCTCCATTCGTTAATGAATAACTTGAATTGTATTTTGGAAGATTAAAATATCATAAAATGTATCATTTTTAATTTTTACTACCTTCAGTCTAGGACTCAGTTTCTAAGTCCGCCTGGAGCCCCCCGTGACTACTACCGGTCCAAAGCCCAGATAAAGGAGGGGTTTTGGACATGTGGTTAGCGACCCAATCGCATAGAAAACTAGCTCGCT